ACCTGGTGATTGAGGATGTCACCGATAGTTACGGCTATGTATCAGTTCAAGTAACTTTGGAGAATGTTGAATATGTTGATAAATTCAATTTGACTTCATTTCACAAAACTAAAAGGAATTGTGATAAAGCTGTGATAAAATCACGCAGTTCTAATGGATCGTGTGGTCGGTCAGATTTCTAATTGATAACATCAGTCCATTTTTTAAAAACTTCCACCACGTCGGTAAAAGTACGGGATATCGATTACCTTTAGTAATAATGCCACAGATCGTGAATTAAAAAAATCGTCAAACAAGCCGCCGTTCACACTCATTCATCTTAATATAAACGTGGCGGGAATTGGTATTCATACCTATGCAACGGACAGCAGCATCGTTAGATCAGTCAGAAGCAGAGTTGTTCCAGTAGTGAAATGATTGGGAAGCATGACCGGTAGATCATGTGGGAGACAATTCGTTCGCAGTTTGTTGTCAGTTTTGATCACTTAATGTATTAGAAACTTCACTGAAACAACCAGTTAGCTCATCAGTACCTATTCACGGAATTTGAGCTATGCCTTAGCGGTTCACACAGTTTCCAGCTATATGTTTTTCGTAAACTCAGACTGTCATCCAAACAGAGATAAGAGCCGAACCAACTGAATTATCTTGTGATTGTCTTGAAATACACCCGTTTATCGTCCGCTAATCGTGGCCGCTCTGATTGCTTTAGGATGTTTGAGGATACCGTCATCCTCAGGCGGATGTGATCTAATCCTACGATCAATACGAATGGACCTCATTGCTATTTGAAAATGTTCCGCCGCAGCTATCACTCTCTCATGTCAATCCGTATCGGTACTTCTCGAAAACGACGGACCCCCACGGACTTCTATTATTTCTGTGTTTCTGTGCAGTCTCTATCCGGCCATAGTTTTTCATCTCCTAGCTACAGTCAACTCTGCACGTATTGTCTTAAAGAAGTAAACGAACTATCGTTTAGTTTATCCATCATAATAGCCATACGTGTTCACACAACACTACTCTACGGGCTCATCCGTGATAAAGGTTAACCGGAATGTTTTCATTTCTGTCGTAAGTTTTCGAGCTTTTATCCATTAGAACACTCGTTAGCGAACAGGCCTGTTTTCGAAGCTTCACAACTGACTGGGAATGGTAGAAAGACGTTGTGGCGCAGGTGATGAGTGACTCATGTCACAAAGGCAGTAGCAGCTGCCCACAGATTTTGACCGGCCCTGGTCGCACATGGCCCACCATCCCGGTACTGAACTTTATCACGGCTGAGCCTGCACCCTACATTATGAAGATGCAACATTAGAGTTCAAAAGAAACTCTTCGGTTTGTTGTGAACCTGCTCCACAGGACTTGCGCGCCCCCTCTACTCAGCCAAGGGGAGAACTGTGAATTCTACATACTTTGACCACCATAGGCTGTCATGCACATCCAGCACGAGAAATGGTATTCGCCAGGGCTGTCTTCCATTTCCCTTCCTCTTTAATGCTTTGGTTAAAATAGTTCATGGGTATAGCCCTATCCTCGTGTGCGAATAGCGGCAGTAAACTCTCTGGCTTAGAATGCGAGGATGATATTGTTCTTCTGAGTGAAGATTAAGATAAGTTGCGAGTTTTTCTAGATGATCTGAACAACAGTGTAGCAATGTTTGGGAGGCGTTTTGCATCTCCGAAGTGTAAAACGCTGCTTCAGAATTGAGTCATCCCTACATCTAAACCTTGTTCTAGCGGGGGAAGTCCCAGCTGAAGTAGATAAGCTTTGTTCCCTAGACAGTAACATCTTAGGTGGTTGGATATCGGGTAAATTGTCTTCGCGTATATAGAAGGCGCGTTTGGTTTTTGTCAAACTCAGTCATCTGTGGCACCGGTCTGACATCCGGCTGTCTATCAAGGGTCAAGTGCATACTGCGGCAGTTAGGTCTGTTTTTTATAGGGCTCAAAAACGTGGTCGTTTAGGGCAAAAGAGAGGTGTAGAATATCGGTGTTACCCCATTGATGTCACCATAGTAATACTCGAATATGGTGGGAACACCGTATCTGTTTCCTACTGAGGTTAGGCGTATGGTATTGGGAACTAGTGGCCACTTACTGGAACAAGTACTGAATCATAAAAGGTCAAGGTGACTGGGACGTGTTACGCATGTCAACCGACAGACTTCCTCGGCGTACGCTATTGTCCGAGGCATGTAGTGACTGGAAAGTAGGTCGAGGTGGTCAGCCATGATACGACATGGAAAAAAGAATAAAAACCTTGCTCCGTGGAATTAGTAGAGTAGGGCGTGTGAGAATTCCGGGCTCGGGTCCACGAGACCCCGTCACCAGATGGTTGGAGACATTTAGTGATAAGGCTAGGTGACGCGGCTAGTGGTGTAATTGCATTCGGACCCCTTCTTTGTCTTCGTAATTTCCCTTTACTACTTTTTGGGATTGTTTTTCACCTCATGGTTTCATTAATTTTCCCCTTTCCTCGACTGTATTAGAAGATAGCAACCGAAACCAGAGCACAGAAGTGCGAGGTTAATGGTTGAACAGATTGAAAATAAGGTCTAGGGAATTGGATCCAACGCTCGTAGCCCAGGTGGATCTTTTGATATTTTGCCTGCTGACAAGCATAAACGTAGTCCAGTACGGGATGTAGTTTAAATTGGCTTAGATAAGTCTCCAAAATTTTTTTCACGACCTGAAAAACACTGTACAGGGTGGAACCAGTTGATGGTACCACTGTGTCCCCAAACCCATGTGCCTTCTACCCATGGGCACGGAAAATCTGGGCCCGCTGATCAAAGGGTTGGTTGGGAAAAATCTCACCCACACACGCACAGCTCACTCAAGACCAAGGTCTACTTGCGGAAGCCAAAAAGAGGAAATACAAAATATACCGGAGGCCGCACATAAGAGTCCAAGCGAATTGCCTGAAAAGGATTTTACTATGCAAGCAGGCTGATGGAGGTCATTTCGAGTACTATATAAGGAGCAAGAATTAAGATGGTCTCATTATTCCTTATCGTCATTTTCTTTACCTATTTTGCTACGCACATATAAATAAAATTTCTCTCTCCAACGTCCGCTCACATCTTCACATATTGGCTAATTCGGGATGCATTTGGGTTGCATAACAAGAATAGCTTGGAAAAATGACATTTACCTATTCTTAAGTGTCTTGATCATGAAAGAAACGGATAAGAATCCAATCCAATGCAAGTTTATCGATCGTGCAAACCAATTATGATGAGTGAGTCAGATCGGGCTACTTTCATTTCACCATGTCGAGCCGACTAAATTCAACTAGGTGTCTCGTAACAGAGCTCGAGGGTTAGTCACATTCGACATTAGCTTCGTTGGAAAATAACTCGGAGTTGGATTTCTGTGACCCACCCGGAAGCCGAATGAATCTGAGCGACATTCCCATAAAGTGGTTAGGTCATTTTCGCAACTTTTCCTAAGGATAAAGTGACCTGTGTGTGTGTGTGGAGGGGAGTGATTTTCCCTAATCAACCATTTGATCAACGGGCCGAGATTCTCTGTGCCCATGGATCGATTTGTGGGTAGAAGGTACATGGGTTTGGGGACACAGTGGTACCATTAACCGTTACCGTAGTACATTCTTAAAAGAACGAAATGATCGAACAACTGCGCTCCCATGGATTTTCAATGGTTACTTCAGTGTGGACACCCCAATAATAATGTAGCCACTTCACAACTTATGAGCGGGTGAAGTTCCGAACGGTCATTCGTAAGTTGTTATTCAACATCATTTAACGTAGCACTATGCTGTATTAAAATTAGCATCCATAAGTAAGCATAATATTAACTTAATACATATTTGATGCAAGTTTGCACGTTTCTTAAGGCGGTAAAAACCACCCGTGACTTTCATCAGCATCACTTTCTGGGAGACCCAAGAAGAAAGAACTGGTAGGCTATGGACGGCCCCTGTTATGATCCTGCACAGCGTTGGTAGTGGGCATAGTTCGTACTATCGGGAGTGGCTCACATAACAGTTTGATGTTCCGGTTGAGAAATAGAAGCCTGGGTAGGCAAACTGAACTTGTGGTCCTCTTCGTTCGTATGTCTGAAAGTTCGTAAATAGCGGAGTGTCTTTACTTAATTTTGAAGCAGATCAGATCGTTCATTCAATTGCTTATGTCTCTAGACAGAAATCCTCAGCGCACATGGTTTTCCGAAGCACTTAGCGGTTGGAAGATGAGTATCGGTGGCCAGTCCATGACAGGGAAGAAAGGTATGAAAAACCTGACCGTGGGACTTGGCCTGGGTGGAGTCCAGGGGATCCACCCACTGTGTAGTCAGACATCGAAGGATATGGCTATATGTGGCACCCTCTTATCGTACACTTTCTTCACCGACTTTATACTACTATCTGTAGTTCTCTTTTTACTTTTCTCGTACTCTTGTTTAAAAAATTCCTGTTGAGAAACCTACCGAATGCATGGTGTCATTTTACCATAACGGCTTTGAATCGTCTCTGGTTGTATGGGTTCGTTTCATTTTTCCGGTGACACGTGCACTTTTGGTTTCTAGTAAACCCCATTAATTAAGGGAAACGTCGAGCTACTGTTTCTTGGAACTCAGAACGTCATCAATTTGTCATACTGAATCATATGAAGTTTCGGAAGGAGAATTTTGGTTGCTTCTGACTATCAGTGGAAGTCTGGGCATATATAAGGTGCACTTGAATATCTTGCTTCAAATCATACTTTATTGACCAATGCAACGAAATCAGTTTCCTGAGCACTCGACTTTTAAGCTGTGGAAATATTTTAGCTACAAGAGTATTCGATAATGGATTTTTCTGATAGCTGTTTTTCCACTGTTGGCCGACGAAGGCTAGTTGTCAGTCCCTTGTTTTTTGCATTTCCTCATTGATGACGAAAATTCGTCCGGAGAAACTACTTCCGACGATTTATCACAATCGCTGATTTTCACCCTGTTTGTCGTAAGTCACAAGTCTCGGGTTTTACTACATTACAGCTTCTTGGACGATTTGGACCGATTGGGCGCAAAGGATTACATGCCCACTGAACAGGACATTCTCCGAACTCGAGTCAAGACGACCGGTATTGTCGAAGTCCACTTCCAGTTCAAAAATATGAATTTCAAGTAAGTAGCATTTAAATATTCGTGCTCTTGAATCGGACGCTTCACACACACACACACTTGTTGCTTGCATTGTATACAAATCAGAAGAACTCACCGTAGCATTGGGGACAACCGCCAACTTTAACACGGAAGCTAGAAAAGCTGAATCACACAAATCCCTCAGTGTAGCGGAGAATGCTGGAGCAACAAGACGACACGGATATCAAACCGATCGGGCCAGCCGATCGAGAGCCACAGACAAAAGAACAGACGACGAATATGTCAGAAGTATCCCACAACAGACAAAAAGAGGCATTCGGGCTAGCAAAGAGAACGCAACGGGATCTTTGGCAACCAAGAAGATAGCCCAGATGAAGGGCTACCGATCAAGCCGTCAATTGGAGCAATCGGACCAGCCAAACGGAAATAATGCGCAAACGAATCAAGCTTACGGCCACAGGCTACTGGTCAGAACGCAGCCATAGGATCAATGTTGCTGCAGCGCGGTTTGGGAAAGGGGCTATATAAACGATTGTGTGTTTCATGAACTTGACTTGTTTAGCCGTCGAAATAATAGTGTCCTAACCCGTCCCGTCGTTTTCGTTACAATAGTTCGCACATGATAACAGGTCATACTGTAACGAAGTTGTCTACCACTTATGACTGAAACTAGATAAGGCGGAATCCTCTTTGGCCAAAGAGGATAAGTTTTCTCAATTCAGTCGGTTAACGTTAGACTAATATATTGACGTTTAGTTGAACCACTTCCGTCAACGTTCTGGAAACAAATGAGCTAAAGTTGGTCGTGGGAAATTCAGATGGGGGAAAACTTACAGTGTTCTGGTATATCTTTTCACGACCACTACTGGGACTGGATTTTAGACTTTTGAGATGCCGATTTCAGAAACCGTCACCATCATCGGTAGTGGACGAATCTGGTTCGGTATCACACCTGATCTGTTGGAGTCTTGAGTGGCTATTTACGACAACTCTCATGGTCGTCGTTATCAGCTCTCCCAGTCTAGTGGGGTATGCATACTACTTACTGAATAGGTGAGTCGTTCATTGCTCAAAAACAATTATGGAGCGACAACCAACATGAACGGAACGCAACAAGACGAAGCAAGGCATACGAAACACATGATCACATCCTCCGACCAAATACAGACTGCCTACCTGCGTTGAAAATGAGTAGGGTTATTGTAATCGACTGATTTTGTCGATGTCCGAATGAATAGTTTCCAAAACAACCTAATTACTCGGCACTTCTTCTGGACTACTACACCAGTAGTGCAGTGTCTCCTGGCGAGGTATGGCTCTTCCACCATTTGGCGTGTAGTAATAAAAGACGGATTTGATGCAAAGAAATGCGGTCTGTTGTAACCGATGTCTTGCATCGAATGGCAATGGTTCTATCTCCTGAAATAAATTGAACCCATTTTGGCCATTTTCAGTTTTTGTGATTATGAAAATTCAAACAACCAAGGGGTGACTGCAACTGGTTGGTCCGGGGAATTTTGACAGATGGCATCTCTATCACCCCAAAGGTACGACGTTCGAACCGAGTTGCCACCGCCGACCACAATTCACTGTTGCCCGTCTCTAACCACGGTTGATCTATTGTAACGCTATGTGGGGTTCTCCATCATAAGCCTCAGGAATAATAAGTACATAAGCATCCCACTCGTTATTCGAGGGCCCCCGCAGCTCAGTGGTTAGACCACTGATTTGGTAAACCGGGGATAGAGACTTCATTTCTCTCAAGGGATATATTTTCTGGCCGGATTTGGGCAACCGATCATCATCGTAGACCTTAGACCTTGGCGTCCCGAGTTCCATTCCTGCCACCACCGGTTACTTCCCCATTTGGCGGCCTTTGATTGGGCGCGGTCTCTTTTCAGAAACACTTTACTTTTTCGTAAAATGAGTATGTGTTTATTTATGAAATCAGTGGTAAGCTATTACGTTTGTATCTGGGATCGTCATTGTGGCAGTAATTCCCGATGTGCAGTCTTTCCAGAGCTCTTCAATGGTGATTGGAGAGTTGCTACTAAGTGATTCAAGGACATTTCCCGATCTGTAACCGATTCGTTTAACCGGCTATTGGTCGGGTGGGTTAGGGCGTTTATCTACTTTCTCGAAGGTGGGAGGTTGGCGGTCGGTCACATTAGTGGTCGATGTCAATTTTCTGTCGCTCAACCTTTTGTCACACTTGACCGTATACGACTCTCTGCTCGTAGTTTCAAGGCCACGCTGCCGGTGCCTCTTGTGCTTTACTCACGCGCAAGCATATCATAAATCAATAATCGGGTTGATGGCAAAAAGTTGAATAGAGGGTGAATAGCTGTAAATGTTCAATATGATCTGAGAGGTTAATACCACATCTAAGAACAAGACCCTCACAAATAAAAACAAGTACAGGAATCGTGACCTGAAGGGGAAAAACTTTTGCAACCTGAAAAGCCAAACGCACCGATCACGGAAGTTCAGCTCAGACAACTATCAACCATGCACTGCGTGCCGTGGCTTTCGTTGCTTTCTCCCACCGGAAACTTCAAAAGGAAATAATGAAAAATAAAATGGTACGAAAGGAGTAGGAAGAGAACTACAAATACTAGTATCAAGTGGATGAAGAAAGATTGTGGATACAAGAGCGCCACTGATCGCGGCATCTAACCATACCCCCCGACGTATCTAACCATTCAGTGGGAGAGTCTCTTGAACCCCACCCAGGAAGTCTAACACACTCTACATGCCCAAGCCCACTGGCTGAGTTTTTCATACCTTCATTACGTCTCATGGGCTGACCATTCTTACGCAACTTCCAACGTTACCCGCCTCAGCAAACATTGCACGCCGAGGAATCCTGTTGAGGCGCATGCACAACACATGTCTCAACCACATTAGCCTGACGAGCTTGTGTTTCATCTAATGATTCGATCTGTGAACCTAAGACTCCGCCGAACATCGTCATTGCTGATACGATGTTCCCACCAGATTCGAGCAATGCTACGAAGAAACCTATGTTCGAATGCCGACGACCTTCGTATATCATCCACTGCGGTGGTCGTTTCTGGACTGTACAGAACAGGCCTGACTGTTGCAGCGTACACTCGATCCTAGATAGATGGGCGGATGTCCCGTCGACGCCACAGATGACTCAGGTTGGCAAAAGCCAAAGGACCCTTCTTTATACGCAGGGACACTTCATCCGATATCCGACCTCCGGTTGAAATGCAACTACGTAGATAACGGAACTTGTCTAATTTGTCTACAATGTTCTCAGACACAGAAGTTTGGCGTTGCACCAACCCAATCCTGAAACAGTATGTTGCACTTTGAGGGTGCAAAACGCATGCTGAACATAGCTACACAGATATTCAAGCTGTCCAGAAAAGCTTACAACTTACCAGGATTTTCACTCAGAAGAACGATGTCGTCTGCAGATTGAAAGTTTGACACTTCCACCTCGGTATGATTCAATACCACTATCTTCATATGACAAAAGGGCAGTCTCTAGGACCACATCAGTTACATAGTTAAACAGAAGAGAAACGAGATAACCCCGACATGCACTACTTTTTGTGATGAACTCGGATGGAAGATTACCGTAAACTCGAACTCGGATTCGGCTATTCATGGGAAGGGACTTTATGATGGAAATGAATTTCTCTGATACATCCTTCAACAATAGGTAGACAGTTGTGCGGTTGACTGAGGTGAGGGCCGCTTTTAGGTCTGGAAAAATAGATGGTGAGCCTGCGGAAGCTGTACCTATGTTTTAAATTTTATCGAAGAGTGAATATGTGGTCAGTACAACTTTGACCCTCTTTATTCTCGCTTGAGCACTGTTTGTGAGTGTTAGATAAACGATGGAGAATAACACAAGCGAACAGTTTGGATGCAATGCTCACCAGACTAATTCGACGGTGGTTCTCACAGGAGGACCACTCGCCTTTCTTGTAAATCGGTACGATCATCTATTTACAACCACTTTTTGGTACTCGTTCCTTCTCCCATATCTAGTTGAGGAGTTTTGTCACCTCCAATGACAATGCCACCACCTTTAAAAAGACGGAGGCACTCCGTTGGGTTCAGCAGCCTTATGCCATTTAAGGTGGCTTATATCACGTAGAACCTCCGCCTTCGACTGATGGCTGGTTTCTACAACTAGAGCTGTAACCGTCGCTCTAGTCAGCAAACCTGTCGTGGATGAACGCTAATTAAACCGCTGTCGAAATGCTTCACCCGACGAATTAAACGACGCTTCTGAGTCTGAATCAGTGAATCCTTCACCTCGGTGATCAATTCGCTGACGCCTGGTTTTCGTGGACCGGTATTTCTGATCAGACGGAAAAAGCTGCGGCTGTTGCCAATCGCCGTAGCTTTTCCATTTCCCTACACTCCGCAACTCACTCTTGCTCACGGTCGTTTCTCGGGCTTCTAATCAGTGGGCGTTCAAGGCATCTCCGTGCGTCATCACATCTGGAATCCGGAGGAATCGTTCTGCGTTCATCTAACAGTGCAACTGAGGACGCAGCTGTTCGTCGTTTCTATGTGTCTGGTTGTTGGACCTTGAGCAACGAATGTATGAAATAGAATCGGTCGTTTTAGCAGACAGTTGTAGTGTTTGAACGAAAAGCCTTTTAGACGAAAGAATTTTGTCTTTTACTTTGCAGCTGTAGTTCTTAGAAATAGAATACACTTCCTTATAGCTGTTTTCCATATCGACTCCACGTCATGTATATATATAATTTCACACTTGGCTGGTTTAAGACTGTGCCAATCAAAATATGGTACAATCGGGGTGGGGGGGGGGCGAAGGGGTAGATAGTCCGAGTCCATGATTTGTTTGGTCGTGCGATACTGCCAGGTTGTCCAGGCCAAAGCAGGTGGTTTTCTTAGGGATCCACAACCGGAGCCTTTAGCTATCAAAAGCCTAACCTGCAAGGCAGCGGGACGAAACGTGGGGTCCGTAACCCACTGGGGGCCGGTGACTGATTCCTCGGTTCATTCGCCCTTCGGATGAGGCCAAACATACTGAGTGCCCAGCGCACCTCTCCGCCACAGTTGCCGGTGAGCATACCACTGTACGCCTCATACGCCCCCTGTGGTTGGTTTGGAATCAGGGTTATGATTTTCTTTATCTTTTGTGGCGAGAGAGAAACGTGCATAAAAAGTAGATTAAGAGAACTAAATGAAGATTGCGAAGCATATTCTCATTTCCGGTTTAAATTATCATAAATTGGCGAAATAAATCCGTCGTGGTAACCAGAACAAGATTTGTAGGCGAACATATGTTTCTGGGGATTTTATCAAGCCACTACAATCACATTTATTTGAAAACCAATTAATTGGAGTGGGAGAAAATATCTCGCTACGTTGGTGTGAAGAGATAAGGGTGAAGAAAGACGGATTCTTTCCCTTATTTTCTTTCCTTCATGTTATATGATAACAGTACAGTATTTCAGGAAGGGGGTCGCGGCCAGTTTAAGGATGCTAACAGGGGAGTGGCCGGGGGTGGCGCGGAGACTCGAACCCGGGACTGAAGAGTCCAAAGCCCACTTTGGTGACGGTTTGGTCACCGCCGATCAATTTCAACGAAGAAACATTTGTGGATGACTGGATTATGTACCGGACTATAAATAGCTTACGTCCTTGCAATGCTGATGTGTAACACATTTGACTGTTGGCCATGGGAGTTGGAGTGCTCGGACTAATTTTTGCTGCGCATGAAGCTCACTCTTCGAGAGGCGACTGCTAATACCCGAAGCCTAATTACCCTTAACGAATGTTGTGGGACCCAGTAGATAACTTAGAAGGCAGACTGAATGTTGATCAAATGCCCAGTTTCTACCAAGTGCGCAACGACCGAACTTTATACCACACCATTGCCTCTATTCCTAAGCCATCGTGAATGATATTCTTTGATACGTTTTAATAACTATCTTGTTGATACTTATTGTTACACTTCCCGCATGACCAACCATCCTGTTCGGTAGAAAGGTGATTTTTTATAACAACCGTTTCGTTCCATCCCAATGGCACTTTTTTTCTCTCTCTCCAGGCTATTCGATGTTGGTGGGCAACGCTCAGAACGCAAAAAGTGGATCCATTGTTTCGAGGATGTGACAGCCATTATCTTTTGTGTTGCCATGAGCGAATATGACCAAGTGCTACACGAGGACGAAACAACGGTATGCGACGGTTTCGGGTTGGTTAGAGTGGCAATAGTCATTATACCCAGTAGCATCGTTCAGTTTTGTTATATATTCTTTGGCGTACTTTGTTCATTGAAGCTAGTAGCTATCAGCATAAGGTTAAAGTGCACGGAGTCCATCTACTAGTTAGCAGATAGCGAATTATGTAATGAGATTAGACACATTATGCACCTTTTAATTCAGGTTCCGTTCCCGACTGAATAAGGTTTGGAGATAAGAACGGAAACGAGAGACAAAGCACTCAACTATTGGTTGTTTACGCGAATCTGTTGTTCCGCCGGTGCACATTCATAGACTGATAAACACAAGCATTCCCGTTTCTCCAGAAATTCGTATTGTTTTAAAACGACATTCAGAGTAACAATTGAATTTACAAAATACAATTTCAACTTCCAGAATCGAATGCAAGAATCACTCAAACTGTTCGACTCCATTTGTAACAACAAGTGGTTCACAGACACCAGCATCATTTTGTTCCTGAACAAAAAAGATCTATTTGAAGAGAAAATCAAGCGATCACCGTTGACCATATGTTTCCCCGAGTATCCTGGTAAGTGTTTTGGAAATGGTTACTAGACTCTATCTCTACCCTACACTTGAAATGTTTTCCACGCTCAAGTTTTGATGGTGACACCTATCCATGTTCTCTAATGCATGTAACAACTGAGTGGAGAGGGGATCTCTTTGACCTCACTCAGGAAGTCTAACACGCTCTATATGCTGAAGTCCACTGGTTAGGCTTTTCATACGTTTCTTCCATCTCATGGACTCGCCGGCTCTACACATCCTTCAACCATTACCCCCCTTCAGCGAGCAGTGCGCGCTGAGTATTCCAAGCCGGGGACATGCGCAACATACGTCTCAACCACATTAGCCTGACGAGCTTGTGTTTCATCTAATGATTCGATCTGTGAACCTAAGACTCCGCCGAACATCGTCATTGCTGATACGATGTTCCCACCAGATTCGAGCAATGCTACGAAGAAACCTATGTTCGAATGCCGACGACCTTCGTATATCATCCACTGCGGTGGTCGTTTCTGGACTGTACAGAACAGGCCTGACTGTTGCAGCGTACACTCGATCCTAGATAGATGGGCGGATGTCCCGTCGACGCCACAGATGACTCAGGTTGGCAAAAGCCAAAGGACCCTTCTTTATACGCAGGGACACTTCATCCGATATCCGACCTCCGGTTGAAATGCAACTACGTAGATAACGGAACTTGTCTAATTTGTCTACAATGTTCTCAGACACAGAAGTTTGGCGTTGCACCAACCCAATCCTGAAACAGTATGTTGCACTTTGAGGGTGCAAAACGCATGCTGAACATAGCTACACAGATATTCAAGCTGTCCAGAAAAGCTTACAACTTACCAGGATTTTCACTCAGAAGAACGATGTCGTCTGCAGATTGAAAGTTTGACACTTCCACCTCGGTATGATTCAATACCACTATCTTCATATGACAAAAGGGCAGTCTCTAGGACCACATCAGTTACATAGTTAAACAGAAGAGAAACGAGATAACCCCGACATGCACTACTTTTTGTGATGAACTCGGATGGAAGATTACCGTAAACTCGAACTCGGATTCGGCTATTCATGGGAAGGGACTTTATGATGGAAATGAATTTCTCTGATACATCCTTCAACAATAGGTAGACAGTTGTGCGGTTGACTGAGGTGAGGGCCGCTTTTAGGTCTGGAAAAATAGATGGTGAGCCTGCGGAAGCTGTACCTATGTTTTAAATTTTATCGAAGAGTGAATATGTGGTCAGTACAACTTTGACCCTCTTTATTCTCGCTTGAGCACTGTTTGTGAGTGTTAGATAAACGATGGAGAATAACACAAGCGAACAGTTTGGATGCAATGCTCACCAGACTAATTCGACGGTGGTTCTCACAGGAGGACCACTCGCCTTTCTTGTAAATCGGTACGATCATCTATTTACAACCACTTTTTGGTACTCGTTCCTTCTCCCATATCTAGTTGAGGAGTTTTGTCACCTCCAATGACAATGCCACCACCTTTAAAAAAGCCTTATGCCATTTAAGGTGGCATATTTCACGTAGAACCACCGCTTCTGGCTGAGGTTTGGTAGCTATCTATAGAATTTTAACAATCATGCCATTCATTATATTTGTTATGGATAAAGGTCATTTGAACCGCTTCTCGAAATGCTCTACCGAACGATCTGGACGACATGGTTTACGGGATTGCAATCTCTGCATAAGCACGTTTAACCTATTTTTGCTGTAGGTAGTACGGTGTTATATCTGGATGGCAGGACAAAGTTTTCCCTGAAGCACACGACTGGTTTCTCTGTTGTTGCCGCTCTTTAGGTATGAGTACCCGGCACTCTCCTGCCCTACCATTCCTATACGCCAGTACTCCAGAGTAGTTTTTTGAATTGGCAGGACTCAAGTGAGATTAAGGTAATGAACTTACTGTGGAGTTCTCAAGTATAAGGATGATTAGACAGGACAGTGCCGGGTACTCACACCTGATAAGCGGCAACAACAGCGAAACCCGTCGTGTGCTTCCGAGGAAGTTTCTTCCTGTCGTCCAGATACACTACCATACTACTTACATGAAAATTCGAAACTTGGGACCCCCGTTCTGGAGGTTGTCCTTGACTAACCGCTGGAATAACTTTCGAAGGACCACTCTGTAATCCTAAAAACTGAATCTTCGTCCAGGCCCGCTCCTAACAATCATGTTTTATCTCTTTCTTATGTGTTATACAAAACGGTACATTTCGGGAAGAAGGTCGTGATCAATTAGATTGGTTACTGATGTTTCACAATGCTGTTGCACATCCTGATACTTGCGATAAAACTTTACTTCCTTCCCACTCATCTTTTGTCCCCCTTCCCCGGCAACTAGGTAAACAAACTTACGAGGAAGCAGCTATCTACATCCAAGCTTCTTTTGAGGCGAAAAACCGGTCTCCAAACAAAGAGATCTATTGTCACCAAACCTGTGCTACGGACACGAATAATATTCAGTTTGTCTTTGACGCAGTTACTGACGTTATCATTGCGAACAACCTCAGGAACTGTGGACTTTACTAGTCGGTCGTTATGAAGCCATTGGGTCATTATTCTGCTGATTGATTGTTCAGGTGCGACACGTCTTCACTGTTCTCTCTATCTTCGCGCCCCTTCTGCCCTTCTCCAAATTACTGTCTTGTGTGCACCGTTCTCGGTCTCTTGATACCAGGAATGAGGGTGATCGTGCGCATTGCATTTTCATCGTGGAAGTGTCGTATTCGAATATGTCATGACTACCGGGTTATTGTAGAACGAGGAGGCTTGCCTTGAGTCGCAAACATACAACAATACAGACAAAAACCAGCACCATCAATTTCCGTCAGGACGGATGACTAAGATCTTACATTGCACCGTAATCATGTTCTTTTTCTGTTGTTTTTGTTGTTGTTGCCATCAGCGTTTCGCTTTCACACTCTGGACAGCACAACCAACCACACATCCGCTTAACCTGTATACGCCATTAAATGAAACTCCAACAGCCCAGTTGGGATTTTTATTGATTTCATCTTTTTTAATCTTCAAACTCCACCTGGGTATTCTATTGAGAAAATAAAACCCAAATAGACACCGACTTGTATGCACATAAACGTGTTTGGTTCCCCGTCCAATGCAAAGATATTCCCTGGTGCATTACTTAATTTTCTTTGTGTTGTCTTTATCGCTCTTTGGTTTCACGAATGTTTTTTGTGCTACTCTACCGCGTTTCTTTTCCCTTACCATTGTGTACTTCTACTGGCTGGTGTTTTTTGACTTCGACTCATTCTTCAACTGAGAATGTTAGTGGTCTGTAGTAGCTTTTTCTAAGCCCCAGCACAATTCTCCTCGAATCCGGTTTGTTGGTTCACGCGGCTTAGCACTCTGGTCCTAACTTTATTTGACCGTTGCTGAGATGTTTTTTTATTTCCTTAGCTGTTGCTGCTACTTCTGTCGTTTCTGTCGGACATCTCAGAATGGGACCCGTTCTGCGTTGCCGTCGTTTGTGTTGGCTGTTCTTCCCTTTCCAAGTGACTCTCCCCTCATAAACATTGTGATATGGCCTCACCTAGTCTTTGATAATGGTCTTCTGCACTTGATCGACTGTCTACGATTTGTTTCTGATAGATTTCTACTTCATGCTGTCGTCTCTTTGACATGCTCACACGCCCACGTCTCCGCCGTGCTTGTTTCTCGTTCTTCTTCTGGTCACTATCCCTCCGGGCGTCCAACTGCTTTTTGAAACTAAGTTTTGCGATCGTCTCCCACCCATAATATCAATCTAGTCTTAAATCACTTCGCAAACAGAACACAGCCATTGATGATACTGTTCTGGACTCACGAAGAAATGCATGTATATGTCTGTGCGAGACAAATTTCGAGGACACGCGTCCACAGCTTGCTGTGCAACATGATTTTATTGTACATGCTATTTGAGCTTATAGTTCCGTCACTTCAATTTTTGTCTCTCCTCTGCCCTCCCTTGTCGTGGTAACTGAACAAAGAAAACGCGCTTTTACCCACATGATCTTGGGCGCTACGAGAATGCTGGTCCTGAGTATTGTTTTCGTTTTGCGACTCACTTGTTTGGTTTTGGGAATTAAACTATCGAGATATTTGTCATATTGTTTAACCATCCGTGACGCACACGGTGTGGAACTAACAGATCTTTGTGCCATACACTTGCACATTCGTGCCCGGTTAAGTAGCCAATGAGTATTAACCCCTCAGCGGCGACTCAGAAGTCATTCCGACGATTATATATATACATGACGACCTATTTGCACTCCTCTGAATGTTGACCATGTGTCCCAACCCGACCTGGCATTTGAGGACCAAAAAGTTTGTCTTAAGCGTTTCAGCTCTCAACGAAGTTTCACAGTGCTGTTTTGTCAAGCGAATTAAAGGTTACGCAAATGTTCACAAACAAGACGTAGCGGCTCTTCGGGGAAACCAAACTCACTTAAAGTGCAATTGCGAGCCCAGAGCCTGGGTACACCTTGCTTATAAATAGGCATCTGTAGTTAGGTCTGCTGTGGGAACGATAGCCGCTCCTCAGGAGCTCATCCGATTCCGGCGCCAGCTATTGGTAGTTTTACATCTTAGCTTTCTGCAGCCACATAAAGTGGTTTACAGTCAGGCACATTTATGCCTCAGAGTAATTACTCACATCCAGGACAGATAGGCACGTTTCGGAAGACCTATATGACATATGGGTGACTTTCATCAGTCGTTCATTAAGGTACATAACTGATCAACCAAACCTTGACCAGTCTCTTTGATAGGTTAAAAATCCAGATTGGCTTCAATTCCTTCAATCGACTGGTTGTTTGAGGTCTTGCGCCTGCATTGACTTATCGCCATTTCTCTCCAGGCGCTTCTGAAAACTTGGCTCGTCGGCTCCGGTCATTAGCTTGTCTGGTTTCCCATCTGTCAATCTAGCAGTACAATTAATACTAAATCCGTCAATGCCTGTCGTTTTTCTCATTTTAATCATGAGACGGAAATCGTACCCGCAAAAATGGCTCGCACATCCAAAACGGTGCTCTTCGGTCTTAGTGGTGCTCTACTAGCGGCCAGAGGGATTTAATATCAGTTAAAGGTGGTGAGACGGTCTTGGTCGTAGGAGCCAGACCTCGACGTCCAGGGTTCGATTCCTGCCACCGCCGGCCACTTTTCCACTCGGCAGCCTTGGGTTGGCCGTTTCCACCTCCCAGGAATATTGTACTTTGCCGTATAGTAAAATAAAAGTAAGATTATTTTATTCATTTATATTCGTCCTTTTTTACGAACTCTGATCCATCAGATAGAATAAATCGATCCAATTAAAAGAAATGGGACGTAACGTAAAAATCAGGTCTGTCGCAAAATACCTTATCGATTGGTGGACGAGCTGAATTACGACAAACGAAAGCTACCAGAAAAAAGCAACCGTCCGCTATAACTTCACATGACGAATCTCGTACAATCATTTAGATTGATTGAACGCCGTCGAGTATAACCGGCAAAAATTATAAGGTTTGTGGTAATTCTGGGCAGTTAGATCTAAGTAATCGACCAGGCTTAGCTGTCCAATTTGAGGTATACTTTTCCAATTGCTTAGACACCAAACATTGAATTAGCAAGAACGGGACATTTTTGCATTGTCGCAAGATCCCGGAGAAGCAGTCATTAACCGGTTACAATCTGATATGTATGACCTAGGAGAGTTCGTTCAGCTCTCCTCTTATGCGAACAATTTCAGCCTCACGATTCACTGTGTTGGAGGAACGAATGTTTGGTCACTGGTGTGTGATATCTCGGTAGATGGCACATTAGCAGTTCCCTGGTTCACTTCCTAAAGTGTTATTCAAAAGATGGGTTTCAAGTAGGCACCAGTACATACTCACAGGAAAGATTTGGTGGGAGACAAGGTAACTGAACTCACTCATCATCAAGGTTATCATCTCAAATTGGAATTCGCAAATGACAGCGGTTCGCTTTACTGTTTCAGGAACTAGACGAATAATGCCTTGAAATGTCACTCGTACGGTTAGCACACCAAAAATGCGTTGGATGAGCAGCACTTAAATGAGAGATAAATCGGTTGGAAATTCCACGCAGCATTTATTGAAAACATAATCACGGAAATAGGTTTTTTCCTTAACTTATTTCCCTTGATCCTGAGGTTTATTGGCGGAAAAGCTGCACAAATCGTGTGCCAACGAAAAAGTTGCATGTAGTGAAGTCATTAGAAGCGATGAATAGAAGTGTCTGGGGCTGCGATAATGAGCGTTGGTCTAACGGTTGTTTAATGAAGAAAACGCATTAAAGGAGAAATGAAACTCGTTCAAGATTAAGCGTCTAGAATTCTGAAAGCATCTATAAGTGCATGTGAAATTGCAACTGATGCTTGATTCGGCGAAAACTGGCACTCGGTGTGGTCTTACGGTCACCAAGAAACATGTGGTATCCTGGGTTGAAAACAGGTTTGCTTTAGTTGTTCCCTTGTTGGTGGACGCTAACCAATGATTTCAAGTGGCAGACTACCATCGATAAACTTAAACGAAGTACGGATATCTTTCCACGTTGGTTTTATTGAGTTCTTTTCATTTCAAATACTTTAGGTAAGTTGATTTTGTTTCGCAGCCTAGGCGCGGTGTAATCCGACTACCAGAACTCGTAATTAGGGGTATTGATGGTTCGCAGTACAATAACCGTTATCCGCATGAGCAGCTTTGAGATTTTTCACCGCTTAGACTAACTTGTTGGGTCTTTTTGATCTAGCAAACCAAGACCTCATTATTTCTCTCTGGAATGGTATAACACCATGCGACAAGCATATGAGTGGTATCAACAGCGAAGCATCACGAACTTTTCTTGCTGACATTTCATACCGAATCCCCGTGAGCTTTCACGGACGGATAATCGCAAGTTTAACTTCTCATGCAGGATATGGCTGTCTACACAAAAACTAATCAAAAGGGAGTTAGATACCATCAAATAATGTTGAAAGTATTATGGCACATGATTCTTGCAGATTGACCCAATTTCCGTCAGGGGCACTATAACCAAAAAAGAAATAGGCATAATAAGTTTCCGCTCAACGCAGCATAGGAACAAGACTTTAAACAAGCTCTCATCATTTTTTCCTCGCACATACTTCCTAATTTTTGTTTGTCAAGCTGTTCAAGAATGTGAAGCACAACGCAAAGTATTCGATTCTGAGTCACCCACTTCTACCCCTTAAATCAAGGAAAACTGCCATCATCTAGTTTTACTGAAAAACCTGAATATACCAGAGGCGGCAAGAAAGTCTACAGAGAACAATGAACAACTCACCCAATGTTCTGACATCGTTTCGTGCTGGTGTGGTTTGTTAACCTAAACGGTTTTGATTGGAATATCTATATCGCAAGTTTTACCAAACAATCTCATCGTCGCTCCGCTCGGCAGTATCAAACCTGCGTCTTTATTCGTATCTGACATATCAACTGCCGAATCTCATTATCGACTGTGAGCTAGAAACTTGTAAGTGCTTACAGGTGATGTACGAATGCATGTGCTAT